GATGCACTAATAATAAGTGTTTACGTACCCCATGGATTTAATCGTTTTCTGTAGTACACACTTGGTACATGTAGCAACATACACTCATCATTGTGGTGCACTCAGATGGTTTACATCAACGTATTTATGAGTTGGAACGATGGTTCGATCAACAATACTTGAAAACTTACCTAGTGCAGCCGTAGTGCATAATGCTACCGTAGTCGTATGTCATGCCATAATTGTCATTTGTTCTCGGTGTCTCTTTATTGAACTGACTCAGCCAATTCACATAAAATGGCCACCGTCATTTTATGTACCACTTTTCAGAAGTTCTCATCGTCATAGTACAATGTATCATGGAAAAATGTTGGTTGAATTACAGCCAACTACTTACTTTAATATTATACTTGTTAACGGTGATGAAATCATCACGATCGTAGCGAGCCATAGTATGAAAGAATCCAAGTGCATGGCCAATCTCGTGCGCAGCAATAGCTGTTGTCTCACAACCTCTTCCCAATGACAGATTCTGTTCACCTCCAATTTTTCCTACGTACGACCAACATCCATCCTTTGGGAAACACCATAATTCGGTCATCGGCTAAACATTAGAGCTTTGAGCCGGTTTCCAAAATTTGGAAAACAATTTCGGAAACTAGAAATCAGAATGGCTGAGATGATCATTCCAGTCAGTGCTCAAATCTACTGGGTCACAATTCGTTGCTGTTGCACAATACACGAGAGGATGTGTGGAAGGAGGGGTGGCACATTCGATCTTATTCTTTGCCGTAGTAGTCTAAAAGGACGAATTCACGATGAAAAAGCAACCCATTTCAAATTAACCTAGGGATGGTGAGTGGTACACGAAAGAAGGAAGAACCATGAGAAACGGCCCAGAACCCGAGAAATGGGACCCCTTCCTTGCCCGTTGATTTGAGCATTGATGCGACTCTCATCGCTGTGCCCTCTTCAACACTACGCTCTCTCAGCTATCTAATCACTCGCCACGTATTGAACTACGGCGAGTGATCAGATGATCGGTGGGCGGAGATCGCCGGACCCGCCAGCTTTGAGGCATGATAGGTCGCCGAGGTCAAATTTTTCCATGCGAATTGCGCGTCAGTTCGCACCCTCAGGAGGTCCGTGGGTCCCTCAACTAGGTCAGTTTCCCTTTCTTCGACCTTCATTCTAATCGTGAATTCCTCCTTTAAACACACTTACACTTGAAAGAAGTAGTTGTGATAAATCTCATGGGGACGAGTGGAAACCTACATAGTGAAATGGGTGGGAGACATACTCAATAAGCGGATAGTTGTTCTTAGGGCAGGGCCGCCAGAACCCACTTCCGGTATGTAGCACCACCGACGCATCAGACGATGAAGGAGTTGCAATGGTGGCGTATCTAACAGATATCGTTATCGCTATTGTCAGAATTTTTCACAAGACCACGCAAAAGCGAGAGGTGCGGGTTCTAGTCCCGCCTGGGGCGAAAGTTTTGTTCACAACCCAGCATTCTTGTGAAACATTCGCAACGCGAACTGCGGCGTTAAAACAGCAGTTAACAAACAAAACAAGTCAAAATTCATTGCTATTGTCAGAGTTTCATTCTGGTACACCTAATTCCGAGCAGCCGTATCTTCTCATCTTATCGCATAATATTTTCCATGGGGTTACGCTCTTACAGCTGATTAGCTCCTAGCTCCAGTCTTTTGTTTGATAACGCGTATTATACAGCTCCACCCTGGTAGCCAGCTCGATCGATAAATATTTCTATATGGAATTTTCAAGAGGCAAACTGAAGCAATTGAAAATATTGGCCCGCTCCCTTCATAACAACGCGCTCTTGCTTCTAAGACGAAACAGGATGCGATCTGTGAACTCAGGAAGATTTTTGACTTCTTTTTATCGCAATACACACTCTCTCTCAGCACTGCTTATAATCGGTGACGTGCAACATTAGGCATTTCTGACTGGCCACATTTTTCAAGTTTCCGAGTTTTAGACGAATGGTGATTCATAAACGAAATGAAACGAGATCGGTCTTCTTACACCCAAAAGCTCTAGCCCATATCAGTCGCCTATTTCAGCTTGTCAACATGCGAGGCAGTAGTGCATTGTGATCGTGGACTAAATGGAGCTCTGGTTCAGATGTATGACGAGATGAGCCATGCTCCCCACGAAGGTGTTCTGCGTGTTCACCAAATCGATCGAGGAAATCACATGGATATTTGAGGCCGTAGCAATCAAAGTGGAATTTCTTGTCGGCCAGGCGGGTGGCTTCATACCTTAGAAAAAAGCAAGCAAAGTTTGCATTTAATCATTGGAATGAGTTCCGCGAGTATTCTTTTCACGGCTTTCATCTATCTCACCTCACTGTGCATGGTCACTCTGCTAATGAAACCCCATGAGCGAACGAGCTCTTTGGCATCTCCCTCTCCTCTCTCCCACATACAAATCAAAATATTTGTGAAGTGTTCAACGAGGTCATGAAAACTACTTTTGCAGTTCACGTATTCTAAAATGACATGATATCATACAAGAGAACTCAAATTCATATTCCATCTTACCGAAAACGGTTGTGCCTAAAATTGATGCAGGTATCCTTTTCCCAGAGCCTGGCACCTTTTATGAAAGCACGTCGCATTTTCTCATCTATAATGAAGTTCTGTAGCTTATTTGCAGGCTAACCAAGTAATCAGCAGCCCTGTACCTACCAGCCATATCGTGAAAGTAGTAATTTACTCCTTGTGACCACAACATTTTCGGATATCTACGATCCTTGAACGCTTGACGTTTCGTACGATTTGCTCCAGCCACCTCGTCTTCTATGTCGTCAACGATCTCCTCAGCTTGCTCCCTTCAATAACTGCTATTGGATCTCGATAGTTTTCGTTGCTTTTCAATAACATTGATATAATATCTTCTTCTTAACGTACTCTGTCAAAATCATGTCGCCCTGGTAGAGTTCCTCGTCAACACGACTGTTTTTGTTGACATCGATAATGGAGTCACCCCTCTCATCGACTTTATCTATCTTGATGTGCCGCCATTTCTGTAAGTTTCAGATGATGCCGAATGTTCGCTCAACTTATCTAGTGAATTTCAAACATGATTATCTACATTTGGGGAGGGCGACGGACTTTTGGTTCGTCCGAGCTGGCACGCGGCGAATCGCGCGGCGGGCTGCGCGGCGATCCGGACGAGGCAAGTCTTCGCGGGCTCCTGCAGTGGAATTCAACACGTCAGAACGTGTGCAGATCGCGGATAGAATCCACAAGGTTCTGCTTTGAAAGAAACTTCCCACTCGCGGAGATCGGTGAAATGCAGCGGTGTCAGTGAGAAGATTACAGCGAAAGGAGATGAAAGAGAGAAACTTCATAGAAATGTCACTATTATCATATTATAAATATGAATAAGAAGCACTAAAAATGGAGTCATTTAGTGAGATGTTATTTATTGTCAACTCTATATCTTTGCTAATCGCGGCGCTCCTGTCCTTGGGGAGAACTTTCAAAACAGGGCCAATGGAAGGTGACACTAGAACTAAGCTCATGAGAAGGGAAATACGCTCGGGAGAACAGAAATTGCTCACATCCTCCACGAGAAACTCTTCCCCTCAGGCTTAGTCCCAAACACAATAATTGGTTGAATCTCTCCGCTCATGGGATTCCCCCAACAACAAGCGCCAGCAACCTAAGCGCCCTGATTGCTATAACAGCCTTTTGCTATTCCTTTTCTTCTCTTCCTGCCGCTGCCTTTGAATATCCACGCGTTGGAATG